AATCGTGCAACAGCCATGAGACGGCCAGGGGACCACCTCAAACATCTCGGGAGGGACCAATGTGAGTCATGGGAACTTACGGAACTAACACGGGACTCCCGGTTTGAAAACTAAGTCCAAAAATGTACTTTTTTACACTTAAGCTTGAAAATAAGCCATCGGGGGCCAAAATCGTGCAACAGTCACGGGACGGCCCCGGGAACACCTCAAACACCTCGGGAGGGACCAATGTGACTTGTGGAAACTTACAGAACTAGCACGGGACTCCCGGTTTGAAAACTAAGTCCAAAAATGTACTTTTTCACAGTTAAGCTTGAAAATAGGCCACTGGGAGCCAAAATCGTGCAACAGTCACAGAACGGCTCAGGGAATACCTCAAACATATCGGGAGGAACCAATGTGAGTTATGAAAACTTACAGAACTAGCACAGGACTCCCGATTTGAAAACTAAGTCCAAAAATGCACTTTTTCACACTTGAGCTTGAAAATAGACCTTCGGGGGCCAAAATCGTGCAAAAGCCACGGGACAGCCTAGGGAACACCTCAAACACCTTGGAAGGGACCAATGTGAGTTGTGGAAATTTACGAAACTAGCACGGGACTCCCGGTTTGAAAACTAAGTCCAAAAATGCACTTTTTCACACTTAAGCTTGAAAATAGGCCACTGGGGGCCAAAATCATGCAACAGCCATGGGACGGCCCGTTAAACACCTCAAACATGTCAGGTGGGACCAATGTGACTTGTGGAAACTTACGGAACTAGCACGGGACTCCCGGTTTGAAAACTGAGTCCAAAAATGTACTTTCTCACACTTAAGCTTGAAAATAGACCTTCGGGGGCCAAAATCGTGCAACAGCCACGGGACGGCCCAAGGAACACCTTAAACACCTCGGAAGGGACCAATGTGAGTTATGGAAACTTACGGAACTAGCACGGGACTCCCGGTTTGAAAACTAAGTCAAAAAATGTATTTTTTCACACTTAGGCTTGAAAATAGACTTTCGGGGGCCAAAATCGTGCAACAGCCACGAGACGGCCCGGGGAACACCTCAAACACCTTGGAAGGGACCAATGTGAATTGTGAAAACTTACAGAACTAGTACGGGACTCCCGGTTTGAAAACTAAGTCCAAAAAGGCACTTTTTCACACTTAAGCCTGAAAATAGACCTTCGGGGGCCAAAATCGTGCAACAGCCACGAGATGGCCCGGGGAACACCTCAAACAACTCGGGAGGGACCAGTGTGAGTCATGGAAACTTACAGAACTAGCACGGGACTCCCTATTTGAAAACTAATTCAAAAAACGCATGTTAAACTGTATATTTTATGGATAAGATAATGAGTGTCTAACTTGTATTTTTTTTTTTTTTTTTATTTATTTATTTATTTTTGTGTTTCATTTTTTTGCAGATTCGAGATTTGATATGGACATGTTTGGTAATTTGGAGGGCAGATGGTAGCTCATTTTGTGTTTTTGTTCATATTACCTTACATGTATTTTGGTTGGTTGTAAATTTTTTATTTTTCTTGGTATTACAGGGCATATTGGGTAATCCGCCCTTGATATTTTATTTTTGTTGATATTAGAAGACATGTTTTTTGTTGGATATTAGGAGATGTGTTTGGTAATTCGTATGCGGTTGAAATTATATTTTTGTGGATACTAGTAGACGTTTTTTGTGGATATTAGAAGACATGTTTATAATCCCCATGCAGTTCATATTGTATTTTTGTGGATAGTGCTGAAATTCGATTGTGATGTTTATGAAAATGAACAGATTTCTGTATTGATTTGCAAAAAACATGACAAATAATTTTGTCACTAATGATCCAATACCAAACAAATAATTTCGTCACATTTGCTGAATATTTCGTCGCCAAATTGAAATATTTGGTGACAAAATGTTTTTTGTCATTGAAGAATTTTTTTTTCTACTCATTTTAGTGATGAATTTTTTTGTCACCTTAATCCATATCGTTAGTGAGGAAAATTTTCGTCACTAAAATCTATTTGGTGATGAAATATTTCGTCACAAAAAATAATTAAAATAAAATATTATTTAGTTTTGGCGACGAAATTGATGTTATAGAGTACGAAAAATTCAACATTCGGAGACGAAACAATTCGTCGCCAAAAATCAAAAATAGGCGACAAAACTGTTTTTCGTCACCAGGTACTTTCAGCGACGATGTATAGGCCACGAACGTGGTGACAAATTTTTTTCGTCGCAAATCACTTTAGTGACGAAAATTTGATGTTTGGAGACAAAATCAGTCTGTCACCAAAAACCTTTTTTGTTGTACTGAAATTACAAATAAATAAATTTTATTTGGATTCTTTTTTTCAATATCAAATTAGGTGCAATTTAGATATGGTTAATTTTTATTATTATTGTTATTTTCCATATATAAATTCTTAAATTAGAAAAAATAATTAGATAAATCACCAGTTTTATACCATATATATAGAAGAAAAAAACATGATATTTACTCACATACTTTACTTTGTCATCCATCCAAACATGATATTTAAAAAATACAATCAGTTATTTTCTTTTTCCAAAAAACACAAAGTAAAAACACAATCACTTTTTTTTCTTCTTCTCACCGTTCGATCAAAATAGAGTGTAAAAAAATACAATCACAATTTTAATATTTATAATATTAAGAATATCACTTAAAATACAAAAAGAAAAAAAAAATCACACTCATATCCGTCTGTCACATGTTTTTCTTTGTCATCCATCTAAACATGATAGTTAAAAAATACAATCAATTAGTTTCTTTTTTCAAAAAACACAATTAGTTAAAAAACACAATCACAATTTTTTTCTCACCATCTAATTGAAACGGAATGTAAAAAAACACAATCATAATTTTTTTTCTCACCACTTAATCGAAATAGGGTGTAGGAAAACACAATCACAAATTTTTCAATTAGTATTGTAAAATAATCATTCATATTAAATGTCCTTTGAAAAAACATATATATATTACACTCATATCCATCCCTTCCATACTTTACGTTGCTATCCATCCAAATATAATAGTAAAAAAATACAATTAATTATTTTTTTTACAAAAAACACAATCAACTAAAAAACATAATCACAAAAAAAATTTCTCACGGTCTCATCAAAATAGTGTAAAAAAATACAGTTACAAATTTTTTTTTCACTATATGATCAAAATGAAATGTAAAAAACATAATTAATTAAAAAATATAATAATTTTTTTTTTCTTACCATCCGATTAGAACGGAGTTCAATATCCATAATAATAATAAAAAAAAATTAGGTAGTAAGAAAAGCAATTAGTACACAACATTTTCATTACTCACAACAAAAAATAGATGAAAAGAGAAGTAATGATTATTGTCAATTGAAGATTGCTTACTGTTATTTTTTTTTAAATTTTTTTTTTTTTATGTATATGAGAATTCAGTACATTTTTTGTATTTTTATGTATTTATTAATTTTTAAAAATATTTTTTTACAAATTTTTTACTTTTTAGATACATCTAAGTAAGGTGCATCAAAAAAATTTTAAAAAAAATGTTTAAAATTTTAAAAATATTCACTAAAAACTAAAAAACTCAATTTTCAAAAAACTCAAATCAAACACACTAATTTTTTTTTTCTAATTGTCTGATTAAAACAGAGTGTAAAAAAATACAATCAGTTATAAAAACACAATCACAATCAGTTAGAATGGAGCTTTGAAGCTCCCACGAGCTTCTCATTACAAAACTTATTTTTCTTAATACACACACACATATATATATATATATATATATAGATTACTTGACTGAATATACCAGAAGAAGAAAAAAAAACTATACCCAATAAAAAAAATACCCAGTAAAAAAATAACATTATGAACATAGAAGAAAAACACATACATAAAAATTATTTAAGTTTCATTTTCACCACTATAACAGTATACCCAAACAAAAAAAATGCCCAATCAAAAAATAACATAGAAGAGAGTGTGAGAGTATAATGAAGATGCAGGTGATAAAGATGCATCTTTAAAAAAAAAAAAAAAAAAATACACATATCTTCCTCTCACATACTTTATTTTCTCATCTATCCAAACATGATAGTTACAAAACATAATATGTTTTTGTTGTTGTACCTAAATGAGATGCCATATTTTTTTTATTTGTCCCTCCCATCCAAACGTAGTGTAAATCTTTATTTAAAGATTGGTAAAAGTAAAAGTTATTAAATATTTAACATCCTCAATAAGAAACTTAAAGTTTAAATACTCAATTTTTTATATTTTTTAAATACAAGTAATAAAATTATATCTAAATAGTAAAATAAATAGACTAAAACAAGAGTAAAAGTAGATGATAAAAGAAAACAAAAGCAGTCATAAAGAAAGAGAACTCAAAGGGTAGTCAAAATAGTACATACCTTGCTGTTGAGCAACTATGGAAGAGAGGGAACTAAAGGAAAAAGCATAAGAGTATTTTCAACCATACTCTCCAAAATGTATCCTCAAAGTACACAAAATTATTTTTTTTATTTTGCCTAACTAGTTTAGTTAATGTACACTCTAACCATACTCTTTATTTTAGCTAACCAATCAAACTAACTTAACTAATTTTTAAAAGAAAACTTTATAAACATTAATAAATAAATAAATAATATTTTTATGACATGCTGCATATATTGACGTGGCATTTGCAAATATTTATTTATTTAAAATGTGTAATTAAATTATTTATTAAAAAAATAATTTCAAACAATCATATTATCTCAACGGTCATATTTTCAAACGGTAATATTCTCAACAGTCATATTTTCAAATGGCAATATTCTCTAACAGACTATATTCTCTAACGGATATATTCCTAACGGTCATATATTTTTGTTTATAAAAAAGAATTTGCTCTTTCATTTTTACCAATTTGAACTATATTTCTCAACTTCATTCATTTTTTAATTACTATGGCTCGCAATACCCTGAAAATGATTCTTAACGACTTTGATGGAAGAAGAACAACTCAATAGAGAAAGATGTTCGAGAAGACGTAGTGGTTCCATTGAAGGCCATGCAGTTATTTGTCGCGATCGAGTTCAAGGCCATGAAAGACTTTATCGAGACTACTTCTCAGAAACAGTTATATATCCTATCCATCTATTCAGGAGGAGATTTCCGATGAATCGATCTCTCTTTCTTCATATTCTATCTACGGTGGAAGCATACGATCCATATTTTGTCCAGAAAACAAATACTGTTGGAATCATTGGTTTGTCTTCCCTTCAAAAAATGACAGCTACTATGAGGATGCTCGCTTATAGAGTAGTAGCAGATTTGGTGGATGATTATGTGAGAATTGGTGAAAGCACCGCCATAGAGAGTCTAAAACACTTTGTTAAGGCGGTGGTTGCAATGTTTTCTGAGAGGTACTTGAGGAGCCCTAACAACGATGATATTTCAAGATTATTAGCGATGGGAAGCAATCGTAGGTTTCCTGGTATGTTAGGGAGCATTGACTGTATGCATTGGAAGTGGAAAAATTGTCCTACTACATGGAAAGGTATGTATTCTGGTCACATCCATGAATCAACTATTATTTTAGAGGTTGTGGCTTCTCAAGATTTACGGATATGGCATGCCTTTTTTGGGATGCCCAAATCTCATAATGACATCAATGTATTAGATCGTTCTTCTGTATTTTCACTCCTACTCAAGGTCGTGCTCCTCCAGTCAATTACTTAATGGAAATGATTATACAATGGGATACTATCTTGCCGATGGTATATATCCGCAATGGGCAACATTTGTCAAAAAAATCTCATCTCCACAAGGGAATAAGCAAATATATTTTGCAAAAGCTCAAGAATCGGCAAGGAAGGATGTTGAGCAAGCATTTGGTGTGCTCCAAGCACGTTTCGCGATTGTGTGAGGACCTGCACATTTTTGGAAAAAGGAAATAATGGAAGATATTATGATGGCATGCATAATAATGCATAACATGATTGTTGAAGATGAGAGGGATGCCAATGGATTAGACTTTAATTATGATACAATTAGTGAAAGTCTTCCACCAATGTCTCATGAGCGTACACCAGAACTTTTTGAATTCATTCAAAATCATCATCGCATCAGAGATAGAGGAACTCACTCCAAACTCAAACAGGACTTGGTTGAACACTTGTGGACACTACATGGAGACTCCTTGTGAGAAATACTAGTTGGTTCTTATTGATTTATGTACTAGCTTATATGCTTTAATGAGTGTGTTTTCAAAAATATTTGTACTACTTTATGTGCTTTCAATAATATATCACTAGTGATTTGTTTTTAATCTATGATCTTTAGTGATACTTAGAATAAATTTTTTCTATCAATAAATCCCTAATATGGAGAATATGGAGAATTCTTAATCTTTCTTTACATCTCTCATTAATTTTGAAACCAGCAAAATTCAAAGCACTGAGTGGTTTAAAGAGCAAAATATAAATAGCAGTAAATGTAAATAACACTAAATCTAAGTCAAAGCACTAAAATCCAACAAGAATTCAAACCAGCAAAATTCAAAGCACTGTCTCCATTTCAAAGCACTGTCTCCATTTCA